CTTAACGAGTTCGGTGACCCCGACTTTTTTGTGTGATTTTACTTTAAGTATATCATAAACTCCATGCCTGGGAAGTTTCAGCACATTCTCATTTCGGGAACAATTACTGCGGAATTACCTTAAATGGGAATTTCTAGTTCAGCCAGTGATAGGGTTTTATAAGGTGAATATCACGATTTTGGGGGCATTCCAGTCCATAAACCATACCATGGCATTACCTTATCACTATATACATGAACTTGCGGTTAGAGCTCAACAACTGGACTCTGTACCTCAGTTTGTTAGAGCGCTTTACCAATTTTTCTTGACAAGTTATTCTGCCGTGTCTACGGCAAAAAAAAAAAAATTAAATTTTTTTATTTAGCTTTGCCAACTAGGGCAGGGTCACCACAACAGCGTATGCCAATTACTGTGGGCCCTTTACCTAACCCACCCTGTCAACTTTCCCTGTGGGAGGAAACCCGAGTACCCGGGGAAAACCCACGACTTTCGGCAGAGCGTTGGCTTTTACTCTTTTCACACGAGTACTCACTGGGTTCGAGTCGCATTGAGAAAGTTCTCACTGAGGCTTGAACCTGCTGCCTCAGAGGTGAAAGGCAAGTGCGCTAACCACTTCGCCACCGAAGCCCCTAATTGAGCAATCTCTTTCGTGAAAGCATAATATAGACAAGCGTTTTGCAAGCCATATACACAAACAAGTTTTCTTGTTAAAAAAATCACATGACTTGCTTTTTACTAGCAAGAAGATTTCTCGAGGAAACGTGTCAATTTTTGTTGTATACACGAGCAAATAAAACTTGCCAAAATCCATTCTTTTTGTCTTTTGCTAACCGCAAAGTTTATTTGACCGATGTTCCATCAATGGCCACCTGATTCGCATTTTACTGTCCCCTAGGTTACTATTTCTTCGTGGAGACGTCATGGCCGAGAAAGCCTGGAGACAAGGCAAGATTGGCTACCTACTACAACTTCGCTAGTGTACGATCAAACGATTACACTTGCCGACTGCGATTCTACTATCACATGTGGGGCGATCACATAGGTAACCTAAGCGTGAAAGTTCGAGACACTATTGGGGGACCTGAGACTACACTATGGATCAGGAATGGACAAGTAGGGAACTACTGGGCACGAGCTGAAGTCATTTTGCAGAGCCCTAAGGACTTCCAGGTACATTTAGGGATAGTAGATTCTTTTGTTTCCATGTTTTTTTTCCGTTTTTTACATAGTCGGTATAGCAGTGCGCAGATGTACCAAACTTTGCAGCTGTTTTTCAGATTTTCCCGTTTTTCCCTGTAGTAGCACTGGATCAATAACGAAACGCCTGTTGCTGAATATCTAGGAAGAACAGTTTAGAACTGATAGAGCTATCCAGTATAAATAAAGTTAGTTTAGTTTAGGTTTCCTCCTGTAATAACACTGGATCAATAAGAGATGATCCTTACTGGACCTCTAGGAAGAACAGTTTAGAACTGATAGAGCTATCCAGTATAAATAAAGTTAGTTTAGTTTAGGTTTCCTCCCGTAGTGACACTGGATCAATAAGAGATGATCCTTACTGGACCTCTAGGAAGAACAGTTTAGAACTGATAGAGCTATCCAGTATAAATAAAGTTAGTTTAGTTTAGGTTTCCTCCTGTAGTAACACTGGATCAATAAGAGAAGATCCTTACTGGACCTCTAGGAAGAACAGTTTAGAACTGATAGAGCTATCCAGTATAGATAAAGTTAGTTCAGTAGGTCTCAAGGATTTTATTGCCTTTATATCGCACAATGAGAGTCGCCAATTAAGACATCTGGGGAAAAGTGTTAAGACAGATCATGTATAAATGAAGATGTTTAGTTTAATTTTTCTGTGATAACAACACTGGACCAGTATACCTCGTTTATTTCAGATAATTATCGAAGCAGTCAGAGGCACAAACTACCAAGGTGATATCTCGATAGATGATGTATCATTGACACCATACTGTAAGAGAGGCAGCACCCTACCTACAGCCCCACCCACCTCACCTCAGCCCACCACTCCTGGGCCGTGTGGCTCTGGACGATTCCAATGTAAGCAGTCTCAGACCTGTATATCGAATTCTCAAATTTGTGATTATTGGAAGGATTGTCCGGACGGATCGGATGAAGCGAAATGTGGTAGGTTATTGGGTATATAGGGTTAGTTAGGCTGTTTCAGGCCTCGAATTTCCCTGAAATCAATCGACGGTAATGGCGTTAAAAATTGCCGTAGAACGTAACAGCTGTCTACGGCAATTTTGACAGTTTCCACGGCATTTTTCAAATTACTGTAATAAAAATTTAATTTTATTGTTACTTTGGATTTTTGGCAAGCTAGAAACATGTCCACGTATTTCTTTAGTGTTTTATTTTCGAAGAAAACTGAGACTAAATTAGTGATTTACGCATGATTTGATCAACATCTGAATTCAAGTATCAAAATAGTAATGCACAGTGAATAGTATAAAAATTGCACTATACGGCAAAAAATTGCCGTCGTTGCCGCAATGATCCACGGCATTTTGTTCTCCCTCTACGGCAATTGCCGCGATAAAATTCGAGCCCTGGGCTGTTTGCAAGGCCGGATTGTTCTGCAGCTAGCGATTGCGGCAAGTTACAAACGACCTACTTTATTCACAGATTTAACAACATAATGTTACTGTTGAATAACTCACTATTTCTAACGTGTTATGCAATTATTATTTCTGAATATTTATGCAGGATTAAAACTTCATTTTTTTTGCATAATATTTACAATATAATACAATGCAAGAACTGTTATGCACGCTTGTCTTGGAAAACCTCCGTCTCTGATAATGATTACGCAAATTACGAAGGAATTTGGGCCGGTGATGATTTCTAGTCATTAATGTAGCAGTATACACTGGGAAAAAAAATTGAAATCCATATACTATGAAATTTGCAATTCCACTAAATCCATAGTATATCCATATTATTTCGATACTATATACATAGTATGGAAATATACAATTATTATGGATAATCAAAATCCATTCTATTTTCAATAAAGGTCCATACAATTCCATTCTATGACCTTCTATGGATTTTCAAAAAATTTTCCAGTGATAATGTAATATATATCTGATTGTCTAAATTTATTTCCTTGCAGGATCATGTACTTTTGAATCAGCGGACCTGTGTGGTTGGAAGGACGTGAGCACTGGTGAGTATGGATGGCTGAGGAACCGTGGAACAACACCTTCGCACAAAACTGGACCTAAAGTCGACCATACCTGTGGAACTAGCTCATGTAAGTTGTATTTTTACGTTGGTTTGTGTTCATGGCCGGATTTTTAGGGGAGTTGTGGGAGGTGTGCACCATAAAAAATTGTCATCAATCTCGATCAATCAAACCAAGTTTCTGTGATCGATCACAGTGGGAATTTTTTGAATCGGTAAATTTTAAGTTTTTTAAGATTTGTAAGCAATGTTTGAGGGGCCTGACTGGAGTTGATTCAGTGTTTAGAACTGAGCCAGTTCCCTTAAACATTTCTTACAAATCTTTCAAACACTCATTAATAATTCATAAGCTTGTCGGCAAATCATGTCAACCATAATATGTCACGTGCAGTGGCTTTAAACCTGATAAAACACTCCTAATTAGTATTCTCTATATAAAAAATACTAATAAGGCAGTATCTATTGTAGTTGTGTCCTCATTTGTATTCTTTATATAAAGCATACTAATAAGGAAGTATATCTATTGAATTTGTAGTCTTGTTTGAAGCCGTTTAATAAACTCGCAGGTCGTGTTTTATTAGGTCTAAAGCCACTCGCGCTGCGCGCTCGTGACTACCTAATAAAACACTCCTACTCGTTTATTAAACAGTACTTCAACAATTTGAATTTACCAATGCAAAATTCCTACTGTGATCAACAGAAACTTTGATAGTGTAAATCGACCGTAATTTGTGCAGCCATGAACGAAACTACAACGATATGTTTTCAGGTCATTACATCTACATTGAGGATGGGTCAGGAACATCCTACCAAGTGGCAAACATCGAGAGTCCACCAACTGGAAAGACTTACCACACATGTACAGTCCAGTTTTACTATCATCTGTACGGCACATTCAGTTCCGCCAACTATCTCTGGATCGGTTTGACGTATGGAGGATCGACGTCTTATATCTGGAATACAAATGGTGACCAAGGTGATAAGTGGAATAAGGGAGAATTTGGACTTGGATCAGTACCTGCGGGTGAGTTTTTAGGAATGTGCATTAAGGCCAATTTACACAATCAAGGACACAACTCACCACGACAACATAAGCGAAATGTGTGCTTGATTTATACAGTACAACCCAAGTTGTAAGCAGGTTGCATGCGACAGTTTTAGACATCGGCCTTTAATATTGAACATATAAGTTACTCTTATATACGTATAATTTAACAATTCCACATGGCTAAGGTTTTGTTTTTTATTATTTTTTCCTTCTTATATTAGGGATAGCCTTTATTGGACCTCTTGGGAGAACTATACATAGACAAAATCAATAGATAAAATCAGTATAAATAAAGTTAGTTCAGCTTAGGTTTCCTCCTGTAGTAACATTGGATCAATAAGAGATGATCCTTACTGGACCTCTAGGAAGAACAGTTTAGAACTGATAGAGCTTTCCGGTATAAATAAAGTTAGTTTAGTTTAAGTATCCTCCTGTAGTGACACTGGATCAATAAGAGATGATCCTTACTGGACCTCTAGGAAGAACAGTTTAAAAGCTATCCAATGTAAACAAAATTAGCTAGAGCTATCCAGTGTAAACAAAATTAGTTTGGCTTAGGTTTCCTCAATGAATCAAAGCTTGCCCCTTACTGGACCTCTTGGGGGAACAGTTTGGAACTGATATAGCTTTCTTGTTACATGTAAAATGACGTTAGGTTTATTTAGTGTTCCTTCTGTAGTAACCCTGGGCAAATAAGTGAACATGAATATAATAAATTCTTGATTATTTCAGGAACTAAGATCTCTTTCGAGGCCCTCAAACCGTGGACCTTCTTTGGAGCTGCAGACATGGCTATCGATGACGTCTCTTTCGTGAACTGTGGTATACCCAAGCCAAGGAATTGTCTGCCTGGCGAATTTAAATGCAAGAGACAGTTCTGTGTTGCGCCTGATAGAATATGTGATTTTGCGGACGATTGTGGAGATCAAAGTGATGAGACAACCTCTGCGTGCCTGAGTTACCCAGGTCGTTGTAACTTTGAGAAAGATACCTGCTTCTGGACACAAGACACTGGCGATGATTTCGACTGGACTCGGGCCTACGGTTATACATGGTCCTATAAAACTGGACCTGGACGTGACCACACGACGTGTAAGTTACAGATAACCAGAAATAATTTGCAGCTAGTTGAACAATGGACCTTTCCCCTTATAACTAAAATTTCGATCTAGACATAAATTTCGTCACAGCTTGAAAGAGCATCACAAAATTAGTAATTTTCCTAAGTTTTGTTGCAAAATCTTGTAAAATGCGGATAATATAGCCTTGTGAAGTTTGCCGTTTTTCAGTCATTTTGTATTACAAACGGGAAATTGACATCCGATTCGGGTGTTGGGGCTGCAATTTCCCGTTTGTAATCTAAAATGACTGAAAATTGCAAATTTCGCAAGGCTCTATTTTCCTCATTTTACATCATTTCGCAACGAAACTTTGGAATATTACTAATTTTGTGATGCTCTTTCAAGCTGTGATGAAATATTTGTCTAGACTTGCCTAGATCAAAATTTCGGCTTTTAGGGGAAAGGTCTATTGGGCATGAGAATGTCAGTTGGGCAGTAGGAAACATACCTCAGAACCTGTCGACTTGAGATTTGATCAATAAGATTTGGCCACGGAACAAAAAATAGTCAAACCACACAAAGTTTGAAAAAAGTGAATGTTATAGAAAAAAGACGTCGATCAAATCTGGTCCGTAAATATTGCAAAAAGATACTAGGAAAAATTAAAATTTTCTGTTATACTAGTGTTCCATAGACCTTCTGTCCGTTGTTTATTTGAATTAAATCTGATTGGTAAATATTGCAGCACAAAGATATAGTTACAGCTTTTTTTACACAGTTACTTAACTATTATTCAATAGGTTATATAAATGGAGGAGGGGTATCCCCTGTCCTTACCCCTCAATGAATCACTTATTGAAAGATATTCTGAGTTTTTTTACATTTCTACTTGCAGCTACCCCACAAGGCTACTACCTGTACATCGAGACTTCATATCCACGAACGTCAGGCGAAGTAGCCCGCATTAGCAGCCCGATTATTAAGGTGAAATCAGCCCAAGATAACTGCCGCCTGAGAATGTTCTACCATATGTTTGGAAAAGATGTCAACTCACTGAAGATCTATCATAGAGATGCGGTCGGAGGAAAGCTGTCTGAAATAAAGACGATACTAGGTGAGATTCTGTATAAAGTTTTTTCCTTGATAATTTTTTATTTGCTCGTGTGTACGGCGAAAACATTGACAAGGAGTCTTGTTCCAAAGCTAGTCATGACCATTGAACTATAAATAAACTGGAAGGCTAACTGCTATGATGAAGGCCTATGATTTGATGAAGCCAAAATAGTTTTTCTGAGTTATGAGCAGAAATACTTGACCCCAAACGTTGGGCTATATATCAAATTGAAGCTATTGAAAATTGCTATTCGGTGTGGAAATTTCAAGACTTCGGCGAAAAGAAAAATATTTAAAAAATACAAAAACAACTGCACAATGGCAAATTATCGGTAATTATTTTTGTAGTTTTTCAATATTTCCCTTTTAGCTAAAATCTTGAAATTTCTACACCAAATAGCGTTTTTCAATAGCTTCAATTTGATATATAGCCCAACGTTCAGTGTTGAGTATTTCTGCTCATAACTCAGAAAAACTAAAATGCACTGGATTCAACCCCCCCCCCCTCCCCTGAGCCTTCCAGTTTATTTATAGTTCAATGGTCATGACCACTGAACTATAAGTAAACTGGAACGATAAGTTCGCCGCCATCTTTCAAGCCAGTTATGAGTGTTTTCTACAGCTATCCCCAGTCCTTTTTTACAAAATGGATGCGAAAAATTCAGCTTAAAAATCGTTTATATTTTCTCACTTTTTCTTCTTGCAAGGCATTTATATTTATCTCAGAGCACAATTAGACAATACATCTTTTATCTAAGGCACATAAAATAAGCAAATATTGTTTAGCTGTCGAAATGTGACACGAACAAAACGAAACTCGGCAAAAAACCGCGCGAAAAGTTATGGTTTTTCTGAGGTTTTTTACTTATAGTTCAATGGTCATGACAGCTTTTGGACAAGGATAATATTTGTTCGTGTGTGAGGCCGTTTTTAAAACACAAGCAGGAGTGCTTTATCAGATAGGGTTATAGGGTATAAAACCGTTGGATCAGATGTCGTATACATAAAACAAACTTTCAATAACAAACTGGCTGCCTGTTTTGATTGAATTGTCGGCAATATGAATTCGTCAATCAATTCTTAAATGGTTTTTCCAGGTGATCAAGGGGATGTTTGGCGGCGTTATGAATCAACCAGTCTGTTCAAACCTACACCATTCCAGATTGTCATCGAGGCGACCGTTGGAGCTAGTTACCAGGGTGATATTGCGATTGATGATCTCTCGTTTACACCTGGATGTATCATTGAATCTAGCACCACACTGGTTCCTACTGGATTTACCGTCCCCACTTCGATAACTTGTCAAGTTGGACAAATGAGGTAAAATGGAGTTTGCGTAGAAAATTTCAACTAGTGTAATCTAAGCTAACTTTCTTTCTAGTGGTATCTAAACTGCAAGCTGATTATCACTACAGTCATTACCACCACTACTATCACCATAATTATCAGCGCCATCATTACCATCATCACAATCACCACCATTACACAGCTATCAGCATCACCATCATTACCTTCATCATCACCACCACCATCTGATCATCATCATTACAAAAATCACCAAACCATCGTTACCATTATCATCACACTGTCATCATCACCACTGTCATGATCACCATTATCATCATCACCACTGTATCATGATCACCATCATCACCACTGTCATCATGATCGCCATTATCACCATCATCACCACTGTCATCATGATCACCATTACCACTGTCATCATGATTACCATTATCACCATCATCACCACTCATCATGATCACCATTATCACCATCATCACCACTGTCATCATGACTACCATTATCATCATCACCAATGTCATCATGATCACCATTATTATCATCACTACCATCATCACCTACTTCATACACTTATATCTACCAGATTTACTTTGCCAATCACGTTTCAATGAAAAGCTTTTTTAGACATCGATTTTTTAGACCTCGATTTTTTAGACCTCATTACTGGACCACTGGGAAAAAATGTGAAATCCATACTGTGAAATTAGCAATTGCACCACTAAATCCGTAGTATATCCATACTATTTCCATACTATATCCATACCATGGAAATATACAATTATTATGGATAACCAAAATCTATTCTATTTCCAATAAAGGTCCATACAATTTCCATTCTATGACCTTCTATGGATTTTCAAATTTTTTTCCAGTGGGCCTCTTTGCTAAAGCTATGTTTCTAAATTTTGCAGTTGCGATGACGGGCAGTGTATTGCTGCAAACAAATATTGCAACTTCAGAAAAGATTGCACAGACGGGTCGGATGAGAAGAACTGCGCTGCAAAATGTGACTTCGAGACGAACGAATGCGGATGGAGGGATAACAAGTACAAAGACCACATTGACTTTACCCGCGATACGGGCGGAACACCTACACCTCATACTGGACCTAGTGTAGATCACACGTTGGGCACTTCATTAGGTGAGGTCACTGACCTTTATATAACACTGGATTGAGTATCTGATGTAGGCCCATTTCTCGATCTAACATGACAAATATGCAAAGCATGATGACCGGATGGCATGGCGAACAGTGGGATTCTCAAAACAATGAAACGATAATGGAACATTCTGATCTCTCAAACGTAACTGAATGTAATATTTCAAATCCGACTACGAGAACTAGACTAGAATTCAAGTCCGTGCAATTTGATCGCTGATCCAAAGCTCTGAACAAAATAAACATGGTCTTTTCCACCAACAAAACAAATACATTATAGGCCTGTTTACACTTTACACTATCAAATATCTGTGATCACAGTAGGAATTTTGCATTGGTATATGCTAAGTTTTGAAGGATTTGTAAGAAATGTTTGAGGGGACTGATTAAATGTTAAACACTCTCAAACATTTCTTACAAATCTTTCAAAACTTAGACTTTACCTATGCAAAATTCTTACTGTGATCACAGAAACTTTGATGGTGTAAACTAGGCTTATATCAATTATTTTCTATTCTGAACCATAGGTCACTATGTGTACGCTGCGGTGAACAACAAAACTGGTGGATTTGCCTTCCCTCGGTACATCAGTCCACGGTATTATAAATCTAGCAAGACATGCAAGTTCCGATTCTACTATCACATGAACGGCTCATCTTACGCATTGTTGAGTGTGAACATTTGGAGGAATAACCTAGACACATATCTCTGGAGTGACACGTTCAAGTTATCAAATGAATGGAGAAATGCTACCGTGGACCTACCACCTTGCCTCACTGACTTCCAGGTATGTATGATGGTGATGGTGGCGATGATGGTGCTGATGGTAGTTATGACGATGTTGGTAGGTGATGTGGTGATCATGCTGTGTGGTTATTATGGCGGTGGTAGTTATGATGGTGGTGGTAATATGGTAATAGTGGTGGTAGTTTTTGATAGTGGTGAAGAGGATGGTGTTAGTAGATGATGGTGGAGGTGGTGATGATGGTAGTTATGTTGATGATGATGGTGGTAGATGGTGGTGGTGATGGTGGTGGTGATGGTGATGGTGATGATGATGATGATGATGATGGTAGTTATGTTGATGATAGTGGTAGATGATGATGGTGGTTGTGGTGGTGATGATGGTAGTTATGTTGATGATGGTGGTAGATGATAATGGTGGTGCTGGTGATGATGGTAGTTATGTTGATGATGGTGGTAGATGATAATGGTGGTGGTGGTGATGATGGTAGTTATGTTGATGATGGTGGTAGATGATAATGGTGGTGGTGGTGATGATGGTAGTTATGTTGATGGTGATGGTGTTGGTGACGAGGTTGATGGTGGTGATGGTAGTAGATGATAATGGTGGTGGTGATTATAGTGGTGGTGATGGTAGTTATGTTGATGATGGCGGTAGATGAGTGATGATGGTAGTTATGATGATGATGGTGGTAATAATGACGATTGACCTTGACCATTTCTCCTCCAGATTGTGTTTGAGTCCTGGCATTTCCTTGGTGACGAAGGTGATATAGCTATTGATGATCTGGAATTCATCGACTGTGCTGAAGCACTACCTCCTTCCAGCTGTCCTGACTTCACGTGCACTAGCGGACAATGTGCACGAAGTAAAGATAAATGTGACTTCACTCCGGATTGTTGCGACTATTCCGACGAAACAGATAAATTGTGCTCAGGATACTTCAGGTAATGATTTAGATCTCAGGATTCGAAGTAATCATATACACACGCAAAAATCTCACATCTTGTAACAAGTTTGCCACCAAGCCGTCAACAAGTTGTCTGCGCACTGCTTGTCACAAGTTGTCAACAAGCTTGGAACAAGCTGTTAACAACTTATAACGAACTTGATGATATTATCAGACTTGTTACAAGGTTGTTCCAACAAGTCCGATACAGTCATGATATAACAATATTGTTACAACCTTGTGTCGTCGACATTGTAACATTCTTGTTATATCATGACTGTATCAGATTGTTTCTAGTTGTTCTAACAAGTTTGGAACAAGGTGCTAACCACTTGTAACGAGCTTGATGGTATTTTCAGACTTGTTAATGTTTGTTCTAACAAGTCTGATACAGTCATGATATAACAAGAATGTTACAAGGTTGTAACATGAGTACATGACTGTATCAGACTCGTTGGAACAACCTTGCAACAAGTCTAATAATATCAACAAGGTTGTTACAAGTTGTTAACAGCTTGTTCCAAACTCGTTGACAGCTTGGGACAAGCAATCCGAACACAACTTGTTGACGGCTCGTTGGCAGACTTTCTACAAGATTTTTGCGTGTGTAACTCTTGATTAATCTTTAATCTTTAATAAAATTTCTTTTAACACGGTAGCCTATTCAGTATAATATATACAGTCTGTTTTTCAAAGGGCCGTGCTATATAGTATTAAACACACATTAACTATGGATATTTACAGTTAATTACAGCACATAATT